CACGGAGGGCGAACCAGGGTCGTGACAAAGAGTATACTAATGAAAGTATGAGACTAAGTAAAATCTAATCTAATTATGTAAGAAAATTCACAATTTTCTAACCAATTTTTTAGATAGAATGGGTTCCTTTTAGGTGATCTTAATCATCCCTAATTCTAACATGTTCCTTTCAAAGTAATCTATACTTAGAGCTTTTGTGAAGATGTCAGCTATTTGCTGTCAATAGAACAAAATTCCAAAATGGTCAAACCTTTCTCATAATTGTCTCTCACAAAATGATGCATAAATTTATGTGCTTAGTTCTCTATGTATATCAATTTCAAAATCCATTAGTTGTTGTTTGATCCACAAAAATTGAGCACAATATGAGTCAGCAACAACATAATTAGCTTTAGCAGTAGATAAGGCCACATAATTTTGCTTTTTGGTGGCCCAAGACACAAGACATGAGCCAAGAAAGTGTGCCATACCTGAGGTGCTCTTTCTATCCACAAGAAAACCTGTATAATTAGCATCAACATATCCCACTAGGCTGAAATTACTACCTTTTGGATACCATAGACAAAGGTCAGTGGTTCCTTTCAAGTATCCCAAGATTCTCTTGACAACAGTCAAGTGAGACTCCTTTGGATTTGCCTGAAATCGAGCACAAAGGCCTACACTAAAAACAATGTCAGGTCTGCTGGCAGTGAGATATAACTGAGAGCCAATCATTCCCCTATACAACTTCTGATCAACATATGAACCTAGTTCATCTATATCCAATTTGGTGGTTGTTGCTATAGGATTATCGATTTCTTTGGAATCTTCCATTTTAAATCTTTTAAGCAACTCTTTCACATACTTCTGCTGATGGATCATAGTTCCATTTGAGTTTTGTTTAATTTATAAGCCTCAGAAGAAATTAAGCTCACCCATCATACTCATTTCAAATTCACTCCCCATTAGTTTAGTAAATTCTTTACTTAACTTAACCACCCCACCCACGTGGCACAAGGCCACTAATTAAAGAAGATGACTCATTACATATTGGTATAAGTGTCTAAAGTGACTTAAAGGTTTAAGTCTTGTAAGAATCCTATCTAAAATCATTTAATGTCTTAGTTGGAAAGGTTGAGGAAATAAACCTCATTGTTCAAAAACGTCCAAGCTTCATTCCAATTTCAGAACAATTCGTCCAAGCCTCATTTCAAATCCGATCAATTCTTTCCAAAATTCAACGTTAATCCTTCAAATTCTTAAGGAATCCAGACGTTTTCCTCTCAACTTCAAGGAAACCAAAAGTGTGATTTCGTTCCAAAATTTTTAGGAACCAGAAAACAATTTGTGTCCATGAATTTCTAAGGAGCAGAGGCAAATTCCGTTCAATCAACGAAGGTTTTCCAACGAAATATTATACGGAGTTTTCCCTAATTCAGGTATGGTAAGGCTAACCTTTTCCTTCATTTTAGCATGAAATATTAATTACACAAGTTTGATAATGAGGCATAAAGAAAAGTTTGTATCCCGAAATTTACGTACATTTTGCTAGTCTCGCAAATTACATATATTTTCCTAGTTTTGTAAGTTACCATATTGTTCTTATCGGGATTGCATATTCAGTTGAGTATTTCTCTCTTTCGGTCAAAAGAGTAGAGAGTTTACATATATACAGTATTAAAAGTACTTTCATTACCATCGAGCTATAATCGATGGGCAAGCCTCCATTGGGCAACCTCTAATCAGATGGTTAGTTATATACCGAGCATGCTGTGGCCGAGAACCTATGAGAGAACCCAGTTGGTCAAGGTACAGAGCCTATTATGGCGGAGCGCTTATGAGCGAGCCTACTACGGTAGAGTAGATATATATGTATACCGAGCCTTATAGGGTCGAACAACAATTTTACTCACTATATTGAGAGAGTTGAGTCAGTATCAGCTAATGAGCATACCCTCAGATTGTCTTTGATCCCTAGTTGCTTTCAGTTATTATATCATCAGTTTTGTTTCAGCTTTCTGTATATTGCCTTACCTACTTGGTACATTATTTCGTATTGACGTTCCTTTCTGGAGGAGCTGTATTTCATCTGTGTAGGTTCAGGTAGATAGACGGGTAGACCTCCTCAGTATGTGTTGCTCAAGTTTAGCTTTATCGGTAAGCTCCCTTCTGTCAGAGTTGTCGGGTCTAGCAGTGTGGTGTATATCTTGTGTATATATGTAGATAGGTTATGGGTAGGTTGGGACCCTCTTCTGATCACAGTACATCGATCATTAGAGGCTTGTAGACATATCCTGTCGGTTAGTGCAGTATGTTGGGCTTGTAGGCCCTGTATGTATATTTTGTTGGCTTGTCAATTGTAGTAATTATAACTGCCTTGCCGGCCCAGCTTATGTTGACATTAGTCAGCGTTAGTCTCCATTTAGTTTTATATTTTGTATCGCACATTATCTTGTAATGTGTCCCATAGCAAAAGGATGACATTACATGTCTAGAGTCTCTTAGTCGCAAATGGTAGGCAAGGATAGATGAGGCACTAGGTGCCGGTCTCGCCCCCGAGCTCGGGGCGTGACAACAACAAAGGTATAATGAGTATAATTGTTTCTAATCTTGCAACTGGAGCAAAAGTCTAATCATAGTCTATGCCCTCCTCTTGATTTTATTCTTGAACCACCAATCTTGCCTTGTTCCTTGTAATTGTTTCATCTTCATCAAGTTTGTTTCTGAAGACCCATTTAGTACCAATTACTGATCTGTCCTTGGGTCTTGGTACCAGATGCCAAACTTGACTTCTCTTGAATTGGTTGACTTCATCTTGCATTGCATTCACCCAATCTGCATCCTGCAAAGCCTCAACAACATTTTTAGGTTCAATAAGAGATAGAAAAGCATCAAAAGCACAAAGATTCTTCAAAGAAGTTCTGGTTTTGATTCCAAAAATTAGATCAGTAATTATGTTCTCAATGGGATGAGAACTTTGGTATTTTTAAGGTTTCACAACTATATGGTTTCCCCTAAATGTTCCTTCAATGTTTTGTTGTTGAGGAACAGGTTCATGGACAGGTTCCCTCGAGGTTTAAGGATCAGTTCCTCTTTGTTCAGCTCCCCCTGTCAAGTTGCCCTGGGTAGAAAAACCTATTCCATCACCTGTTCCTTCCTCTGGTACAGCTTTAATCTAGGCAGTAGTTTCATTTGAATTTCTTACCAGCCCAATTGCTTCATCTTCATGTTCCTGCCCTCTCAGAAAGAATGTTAGTTTTATCAAAAACCACATGTACACTTTCTTCTACAAACATAGTTCTTTTGTTATAGATATTATAAGCTTTACTATGTGAAGAATATCACAAGAATACCCCATCATCACTTCTGGGATCAAACTTACCTAGGGAGTTTTTACCATTATTGTGCACAAAGCACTTACATCCAAATTCCCTAAGATAGGATATATTTGTCTTTCTCTCTTTTAGTAACTCATATGGAGTCTTCTCAATAAGAGGTCTGGTCATGCACCTATTTATGATGTAACATGCAGTGTTCATAGCTTCTGCCCAGAAACTATAGGGCAGTTTACTGGAAAGAAGTATAGTCCTAGCCATTTCTTCTAATGTCCTATTCTTTCCTTCAACTACTCCATTTCGTTGTGCAGTCCTAAGAGCAAAAAAATTATGATCTATGCCATGCTCATCACAAAATTCAGCAAATTAAACATTTTCAAATTCAGTACCATGATCGGACCTAATTGATGCAAGTTGATTATCTAGTTATTTTTGAGTTTTTTTAACAAAAGAAGTGAACATGTTAAATGCTTCATCTTTAGATGTTAGAAACAATGTCCAAGTACACCTAGAGTAATCATTAACAAGCACCATAACATATCTCTTACAACATCTGCTCAAGGTTCTCGTTGGTCCACAAAGATCCATATGGGCCAGTTCCATCGTTATGGTGGTACTTATCATTTTCTTGCTTTTGAAAGAGGATCTTACCTGCTTTCCACTTACACAATCCTCACAAACTTTATCTTCCTTGAACTTAATATTACGCAGTCCTATCACCAAGTCCCTGGAGACTAGTTTGTCGAGTTAACTTGGATTAGCATGTTCAAGTCTTTTGTGCCAAATGATGGGATCATTATCCAGCACACTTAAACAAGTGAGTTCATTATCTGAGAGTGTGGACAGATCCACAATATATATATTGTTCAACTTTTTCCCCTACAAAACTATCTTGTTAGTGATAAGGTTAATCACAAAGCATTTTGAAGAGGTGAATGCAAACATGTTACCTCTATCACACAATTTTGATACACTTATTAAACTGTACTTCAATCTATCAATCAAGTAGACATTCTCAATAGTGTGAGAGTCAGTCTTACCTACCTTGCCAACCCCAATGATCTCACCTTTCTTCCCATTTACAAATGAGACATTACCTCTTTTAAGGTCCTCAAGTTAAAGAAACTGGTTCTTGCTTCCTGTCATATGCTTTGAGCAACTGCTATCCATGTACCATATTTGGTTACTCCCTTTCACTTGGACCTCAAAAAGGAAACCAAGGGTTAGTCTTAGAAACCCAAACTAGTTTGGGTCCCTTTCTGTAGGCAAAAGGATGAATCAAATTCTTTTTAGCCCAGCTTGACAACCTATTTTTCCCTTGAACAAATTCTTTATTCTTTTGACTTGTCTTTTCTTTTGCAGTGCATTCTTTTTAATAGTGACCAATTTTACCGCAATGTGTGCAAATTTTGTTCTCAAGAAGTGTGAGGTACTTGCTTTTGGGATCCCACTTGGGTGCATGATTCCTAAAGCCAAGTCCTCTTTTGTTTCTACTGTGATGTTCTTATAGCCATGAAAGTGCATCAGAGGAACTGTTCCATTTACAAGTTCTATCTAGCTCTTGCTTGACCTTGCTCAGATCCTCCTTTAGAATTCTTATATGCTCATCTCTTTTGTACAACTCATCTTTTATTTTTACTATATTTTCTTCTAAAGTGAGTTGTGTGTAATCAGTTGTATTTTTACCATTTCCTAATTTCGATTTTAAGATTTTCAGATCTGTGCTCTAGTACAGTAGTGTTAAGTTCATGAACCTGGTTCTTCAACACAACATTTTCACATTCAGTTTCACTATTCCTAAGTTCGAGGTTTTTGTACTTAGCTTTTAAAACTACACACTCTTTTGACAGTTGTTCCTTTTTATTGTTTACATCCTCAGACTCATCAATTAGCTCTATGAGCAACTCAGATAATCTTTCTTTAGACAAGAATTTAATCTTTTCTTTGATATAAGAAACACTTACCTCAGTTTCTTCATCAGATTCTCCAATAGCCATAAGTGCTCATTCATCCTCATCATCTAAGCTATCTCCCAAAGCAGAGACCATAGTTTTTGTTGATCCTTTGCTATTGCTTTTCTTGGGTTGAACCTATTCCTTCATTCAACTCTTTCCTTCTTCCACTCAATTTCCCACAGAGGACAATTCTTGATGTGGTGATCAGTCTTTCCATACTTGTAGCAGCAATCATTGGTTTGTTTCTCAGGAGCTTTTGATTTGTTGTATCTACCACTTCTTGAAGAACCCTTTCCTCTTCTTAGGTACTTCTCGAAATGTTTGGTGGTTATGGCCATTTCATCATCTTCCAGATTAGAACATTCACTGATTCTGAGAACCAAATTTCTTTCCTTTCTAGATACATCCATCTTCATGGTTTATCTCCTAAGTTCATAGGCAGGAAGATTTTCAATCAGTTCATCCAAAGGGAGAGTGGAAATATTTTTTGATTCCTGGATGGCAGTGATTTTGCTCTACCAAGTGATAGGCAAGACTCTAGTTAATATGTTTTCGACCCTTTCTTCTTCACGAATAATCCTTCCAATAGATTTCAGTTCATTTGTAAGTGTAGTGAACCTTATGTATATCTCTTGAATGGTTTTTCCTTCCTTCATAGCAAAACTCTGATATTGAGAGTACAGTAAAGTTTCTCTGGATCTCTTCACCTGAGGTGTTTCTTTATGAGCTGTCTCATATTTGCTTAGCAGTGGTACAACCTTGGATTCTGTTGTACTCATCTGGACCAAGTCCCCAAATATTCCATTTCTTGGCTTTAGCATACTTCTCCCACTTCCTCAAGTCTTCAGCAGTGCAATCAGCTCTTGTCTTTGGCACATCTACTCATTCAGCATTTTTCTACAGGGTAGCCAATGGACCATCAGTGATAATATCCCATAGCTTGTAGTCCCCTCCTAGAATGTGATCTCTCATCCTGTTTTCCACCAAAAGTAGTACTGGCTATTAAAGAGTGGTGGCCTAGCAGTGGATCGCCCTTCCTAGGTGTAAGCCTCTTCAAGGAGAACCCGCTCTAATACCAATTGATGTTTTATGCTTCAATGCCACACAAGAGGGGGGATGATTTGTGTGGTATCCAATTTTCACGAGTACAGATTATAGAAGAACCTGGTTCTTCTATTTCTTCCTTAAACTAATATTACAAAAATAATAAATGCAAAAAGTAAAGAACACAAGTATTTTTACGTGGAAAACACTTGGCTCAAAAGGTAAAAAAAACCATGGCCTACTACTCAGTAGGATTTTCCTCAACACTTTACTAAATCACTGAGAGCCAAAACAGCATTTACAAAAACTCTTTGTAAATCTAAGGATTACTTTTAATCCCGTTATAGAAACTAGCCTCTAACTGTTGCGGCAACTTCAAGTTAACTCTAACTTGAATACTCAAAGTACCTAATACAATTGCTTCTAGATAAAGCTGAAAGGTACAATTTGAAAACACCTACTACAATGAAACTAGAATAAAAGACAGACACTTGGAACTAGTTCTTCTATCTGGTTCATGTAGTTTCAGGTTCGCACACTTGAATCACACAAGAATTGCTTGCAAAATGCCTTGCTATTTTGCTCTCAACTCACGTTTAACTTCAGTTTTTGTGTGTACCTGTAAAGTGAGAACATCCTGTAATTTATAAAGTTAGTAGAATGGGAAATAACTAGAGTTCCACTGATATACTCTTCCTTGGTGGAAGAGTTCTAGTTATCTTCAACTTCTAACCCCTCCCTTATCTTGGATAGTATTATCTTCGAGTAAGGAGTCCTTCTCCTTATAAATTATGCAACATTTTCGATCAGGAGAATCAGATATAACCACTTAAGCTTATCTCCCTCACGTGCATCCCTTATGCTTGAATCTGCCTGTGTCTGTGTACATTGTGGATGGATCTGGTTCATGCTTGAGTTCCTTTGTCAATCTTCAAAACAAACTTCACTTGGCCCAACACTATGCCTAAGGAATACACCACCACCAAAATTTAGGCTAACCAAATTGGTTCCTCCATGTAAAGCTGGGGAAGTAAGGACGAGAGAACGAGAATTTTACCCGCTGAGATAAGTTTATTTCTTTCTTCTTCTTTTTTTTCAAATATCAAAAGCTCAAATATCTTGCCAACAAAGTGAATAAAGTTAAGTTTAAGAAGTCGATACTGTTAAATAATATTTTTTCTGTCTTAATTTATGTAACGTTCTTTCCTTTTTAATCACTTTCAAAAGAAATGAGATATTTTTGTATTATTTAGTAACAGTTAAATTTTAAAATGCTCATTTTATTCTTAACAAAATAATTTATAACCACATAAATATTAGTGGCTTATTTTAGACTAAAATTTTAAAAGTTTTGTTCTTTAACTCTATATCCAATCAAACAACATCATATAAATTGAAATCGAGGAGTAACAAGAAAGTTTCTAGATTGAAATTACCATTGATTGTAGACAAACACATAACTTGTCACTTTCAAGTGACTTCCACATGCAATATCGAACCTTTGTTATCATTTATTTTTATTTAATTTGGTTGATTTATATGACCAGTGTTACTATGCCTTGTCATGTCATGCTGTAACAACCCGACTGGTCGTTCTGAGCAATTGCGCCCGGTTCGACAATTTGAGGTCAAGACCAACTTCACATTATGTATATCGACTTGTGTGCATGGTTGGATTCAGTTTTCGGATGAATCACAGTCGAATTGGAAAGAAGGAATATAGTTGTGGAAGTTTAAGCGGAGAAAATTGGACCAGAATTTGACTTTTGAGTAAACGGCTCCGGAATGAGTTTTGGATGATGTCAGTAGCTTTGTATGGTAATTTTGGACCTGAACTTGTGTTCGAATTTGGGTTTGAAGGCCCGTAGGGTAATTTGTGCCATTCTAGTGAAAGTTGGAAAAGTTGAAGAGGTTTTACCCATAGTTAAATTTTATGTCATCGAGGTCAGAATGCGGTTCTGAAAAGTTGGAACAACTCTGTTATGTCATTTGGGACTTGCCTGCAAAATTTGGTGTCGTTTGGAGTTGATTTGATATGGTTCGGACGCTTGGTTGCAATTCTAGAGGTTCTTGAAGTTCATAGTGATTTTCATGCGTTTGGGCATCTGATTCGTGGTCTTAGCGATGTTTGAAGTGATTTGAGAGTGGGGCTAAGTTTGTATGATGTTATGGGATGTGTTGGTACATTTGGTTGAGGTTCCGGGGGCCCCAGATGAGTTTCAGAGTGAATTTTGAGCGAGTCCGGGCATTTCGGTACTCTGAGATGGTTCTGGCACTTTTGGAAGTGCGGACCGCACCAAAAATATGCGGACCGCAGAGGAGAGTGCGGACTGCATTAAATTTTCGCGGACCTTAGTGCAAACCGCACAATTTGGTGTGCGGCCGCACATCAAGATGTTCTGCAGGATTGCTAGTCCGACTTCGGAAGGTTATATCTTTTAATCTACAAGGATTTTTGAGATGATTAAAACACGAAAGCTGTATCTCTTCGTGTCTAGTTTCCATAAAGGTAAAGAAATCACAATTTGAAAATTTGTATAGAAAGTTATGGCCAAAATACTAAAGCATGTCGCTGCAGTCAACATTCTCCGCGGCCAGCGGTGATGGACCTGGACCGCGGTCAGCGGCGGTTTTTGTGCAGTCAGCAGTGATGGAAATCTAGGAGGTGCACTATAAATATGAGGTTTAGAGTTTTATTTCATATTTTGATATAGAGAGCTCGGATCTTGGTGATTTTTTGAAGGTTTTTTCAAAATATTCATCGAGGTAAGTGATTCTAACTCAGATTTAGTTAGAATACATGAATCTATCATTGAATTCATCATTTGATTTGTGATTTCGGATGGAATTTGGGAAAAATTGTGAAATCATTCAAAAATGTAAAATGATGATTTTAAGGACCAAATGGTATCGAAATTGGATAATTTTTGTATTGGTGAACTCGTATCGAAATGGGTATTCGATTTTTGTAAATGTTGTTGGGTTCCGAGGTGCGGGCCCGGGGAGTTGACTTTTGTTGACTTTTTGCAAATTGTATAAGAATCATAGTTTTGTTAATTGGAATTATTTTCTCTTGCATTTTAAGATGTATTCATGTCGTTTTTGGCTAGATTGAGCTGAGCATTGGTGAATTGGTAAAAGAAAAGCTAAATTGAGTATTGAATTGGCCAGATTGAGGTAAGTATCTTGCCTAACCTTGTGTGGGGGACTTCCCCTTAGGAATTGAGTCTTCTATGCTAATTGTAGTCCATGTATGTGAGGTGACGAGTGTGTGCTCGGACTTATTTGTGGAAAATTTGCCTCTAGGGTCCTTATGTGAAAAGTATCTCGTTTTGATTGGATTTCCTAATTGCTTAAATTGCCTCTATATGCTCCATATGACGTTTAGCTCTCCTTTAATTCTTACGTGTTACATTGACCCTTAATTGCCTTAATTGAAGTGATTGTCTTCCTTATTGTTTTGATACTTCTTGATTGTGAGTTCCTCTGTGACTTCGTGCAAATATGTTACATGTCCAATTGTTGTGGTTACCGGTTTAGTTATCACGTGCTTATTATGTCTTGTTGTTTGTTGAGCTTATCGTGCTTCTCGATTTTTCCGTGACTCTTATTATGTACATATTGTTTCCCTTGCCAGGATATTTTTATGATACTATTGTTCCCTTGTCGGGATTTTATTGTTTATGATATTGTCCCCCTTGCCGGGATGTTATTGTTTATGATATTGTCTTCCTTGCCGGGATGTTGTTGTTATACTCTTGTTCCCATACCGGAATTCTTTTATAATTGATGATGATTTGTAAATGGGAGCGGGTTGCATGCCTGCAACAAGATATGTAAAATGGGAGTGGGATGCACGCCTGCAACGAGATATATGAAATGGGATCGGGTTGCACGCCTGCAACGAGATATATGAAATGGGAGCGGGTTGCATGCCTGCAACGAGATATATGAAATGGGACCGGGTTGCACGCCTACAACGAGATATATGAAATGGG